CACACACACACACACACACACACACACACACACACACATGCACACCAGAGTCATTCGCCAATTTGGTGGAAAAGTGAGTTTGATTCTTTATTTATATTTGAATCTAGTTCATGAAACTAGTGAGGAAATACACTGTCATGGGAGGGTAAAAACCCCACACAGTTTGTAGTCTTTATTTTGGGCAGCTAAAAGCCACTCTAGCTTTGCCCCTTGTTCGCCTGTGACTTAACTTTTCTATTCAATCGCTTTTAAAATGGCGACAGTAATGACTCCCACCTATGTGTGTTTCAGGGTAGACTCAGAAAGCAACATAACCCACTGTTTAAGAATACAGGTTTGGCGTGAGGCTGAATTACAGTTCAAATATTGGCCCTGCAATTTCACTAGGCATGTGATCTGAGTATGAATGTCAAGTACTTACCAGCGTCCAATGCATATTAAATATTAAATAATCACCCTGTCATTTCTCCTTTGAAAACTGTAAAGCCCTCCACCAATATTCATTTCTATTACCTAAAGACGCACACAAAATAAGACATCCAGTAACAGAGCATTCATCAAATGCTTTCTCAGTATCCACTATCACATCCTTATCTACAAAGCCGGCCTGCCTTCTCAGACAGAACGCTCTCATCTCTGACACGCTTACAGAGGCAGAAGGCCAGCTATAATTCCTTGCGGTCTTTGAAGACGCAGTCAGCTATATCAGTTAATAACCTCACTAAAGGTTATCCATCAGAAAGACGGGACAAAAAGTCCTAATTGCTCCAGTCAGAGATGTCATTAGTTATGTACCTGGCTCCTATTCAGTCTGTACTGCACACATGGAAATGGCACATACTATGTGAAAATGTTACCAAACAGACAAGTATTTAACCTAACTGCTAAATAGCTCCCTACCATCTAGTAAGTCATTTCAAAGGTAATCTATCTTCACAGGAATGTACCTTCTGATTCTCTACAATTCTGACATTATATTTGCCCAAGCCTTAAAATTTTTATTTGGATTCCATGGCCATTTTAATAAATCAAAGTTGCCTTCTCTCCCCTCCTGCTAGATAGTAAAACCATGTAGAACAGTTCCTGGACTAAGTGATCTAACATCATCCCCCTTGAATTTGTCAGAAGCAAGCATCTTTGATTTTTTCTTTTTAGTCCTCCAACTGAAAGTCTGGGGCCTTCTTTCTAAGTGAGAATGCTACCATTGGAATGTTGGGTTTCATCATTAGTTTCTGTTTAACCATAAGGAACTCTCTAAAAGAGGAAAACATCTTATTTTCTCTCCAGGAGCTTAATACAATTGCTACACATGCTTAAGAGGGTGACATGGTTCAATTTCTTGTGTTTATAAACACTAGCAGATAGCAATATGTGAACAAAATGCACAAACATAGCTTTTTTAAAAAACAGAACCTAGGATTTGTCATAAAAATGTACTGTGTCATGGTTGGACAGACATAAATAAAAACTGCATGGTGTGGCTTTATCTCTCCTGAATAGAATATACAGACCAACATTTGAAAATGCCTACCATGTCTCATTTTTAAAGATTTTCTATACAGTAATCCCCCATTATGTGCAGGAGATACATTCTAAGACCCCAGTGGATGCCTGAAACCACCGACTGTACCGAACCCTATACATGCTATGTTTTTTCCTATACCCTTTCACTCAAAGGAGACACTTTATGGCTTCTCTTTGGCATATTCAGAAAGCCAGAATCACTACCTTTGGCTTTGGCACCATCATTAATTAAAAGAAGGGTTACCTGAACATAAGCACTGCGATACCATAGCAGTTGATCTGATAACCGAGAAGGCTACTAAATGACTAATGGACACGGAGTGTCTACAGCATGAATACGTTGGACAAAGGGAGGATTCATATCTCGAGTGGGGCGAAGTGGGATGGTGAGAGATTTCATCACGCTACTCAGAATGGCACACAATTTAACACTTCTGAATTGTTTATGTCTGGAACTTTCCATTTAATATGTTCAGACTGCAGTTGACTGTGGGTAACTAGAACTGCAGAAAGTGAAACCATGGATAAGGGTGGTCTACTCTGATTACAAAATTTTTATATAAAATGAGTGGAGGATTTTTACATGAAATACCTAGTTTAGATAATTTATCATGAGAATGAGTTATATAGAAACACCAGAATAAATTAATATGCTCTTCATATGTAATGGGAATCTAGTCTTTCCTTTGAGGACTCATCCAATTCTCTCTTGCTCTTTTTTTAAATTAATTTTTGGGAGAACAAGTGGTAAAAATTTAGCAAAACAAAAATTTATTTAAGCACTTTTACTTGAATCATTACAAGTATTACAGAAGTATAAAAGGGTGTACGTTTCTGAAGATGACCAAAGTTAGTATAGAAATTCCTCATGCATAAAGAGTGTAAAACTTATTTCTAATGATATGTATATATATACTATTATATATTTATATATAAATACATATTATATATAACATATATACAACATATATATAACATATAATATATATATATATATATATATATCTCCAAATTATACCATACACACACACATACACACACAAACAAGCAATCTAAATCTCAGAAATTGGAAATGGTCATGGGGCCCTTATTTGTAGGCTGTCACAGTTATACTACCATCTCCAGAGTTTCATTTGATGCTAATAATAATAATATCACTTTAGAGTATAATTATCTCATCATTAATTTTCTAGCAGCTTGGCTAAAAATGTCTAAAATAAAAGTATACTACAAAAAAAATGAGCTTAAGGCTGGGTTTGTTGTGAAATGAAATTTTTTTTCCCAGTTCCAATGTTTAAATAGTTAAAAATAATAGCATGTTAAAAATAATAGCATGTAACAAAGATCCTTATCTTTTTAAGCATTTTGGAAATCTATTGTAAAGAATGGCAGGCCACATTACTGTTTTTTCTTTTTTCCGACAATGTCTGATTTTCCAGACATTAACTGCAAGTACCAAGGTCTATTACGGCATCATTAGAAAGTCCATTAAGATAGGCTTTCCAGGATTTCCAGTAGAGTTAACATGTGTCAACTCCTGTCCTCAGCAAGGCTGGCAGAAGGCACTACTGGGCTGGAATTTTTTAATGCAAGTGTAAGTTTTCAAAACAGGTGACATGGTTGACATAACCATTAAATATCTTGCTTCTCCACAGCTCCTAGGAAAATAGGTACTTTCTCAATTTTTAATACAAATTCCTGTATTCTACAAAAAGCTGTATTCGTGGGAGAATTTTCAGAATTATATGAAATTTGTGAGGTGTGCTTCTGAGTTGGACACCAGAGTTCACCCTCCAGTATCTGGAGGCCTAATAGTGGAAGGGCTCAACAGACTAGACTTGGAGGCCACAAAAGCGTTTAACATGGCACTTGGCCTTGTTTTCCTTCAATGGCTCAGGGGCAGGAGAGAAGTAAAACAAGTCTAGAGGTGGTTACTCTTCGGTTCCGATGAATGCATAGCTGCCAAACGTATGGCAAAGGTCAGGGCAAAATTGTATATTCCAGAATCAAAGAGAGTAAAAGAGATGTCAAGATCAGCTAGCTCAGAGGTTCTCAGTGTTTACTGTGTATAAGAAAGCTCCTAGATCCACCCACTGAGATTCTGACTCAGCAGCAGGAGGTAGTAGTGGGAGACGTAGTGGGAATAGAGGTGGTAAAATATAATACTTCAAAAGCACTTGCTTTGTGCCAGATACCATGCTAAGTTTTTCACCTTATTTAATCCTCACAACAATCCTATTGGGTAGGTGCTACAATTATCCCCATTTCACAGGTGAGAAAACCAAGGCAGGTGGTTAAGGAACCTGTCCTAGGACATCCTGCTAGGCAATGAATAAGGATTCAAACCCAGACAAGCTGGTTTCAGAGCCTGAGCTCTTCATTAATCACTACACTAAACTATTCACCAACAGGGTTAGGGTGAGGCCCAGGGCATTAAGAAAATGTCATGACTGAAGTCAATCGTTTCTAAGTGGAGAAAATGAAATCCAGAGAAGTGAAGTCTTTTATCCAAGACAAAAAGCTTTCAGTACATTTCCAGGAAGAAATCAACCATTATATGACACCAACTATTCTTAAATATTCTTCTATATACATTCCTCTTGGGAAGAAATCGACAGATGGCATTATTAAAAGCCAGCTCATTGGTTCCAGCTGTTACTCTGACCAACGTGCTATTTTGGGCAGAGATTTCCATCCTTTTCTGTCCAATTCATGGTTCACTCAGCAGATAAGACACACTCCAGAGTCAGTGTAAGGGGCTTCCAAACATCATGGTGATTCTCAAGGGAGGAAAAGGAGAAAGGGGTGGGGAGAAATGCATCCCTAAAAAGTACACGGTAACTGGGATGTGGGAGATTAGGGTCACATCATCTGAGTTTAGAAAGAAAGAAAAAAAAAAAGATGTGATTCTGATATGGCTCCCAAGGACGGCCTTCCTTCCTCTAAGTCAACTATTCTAAAGCCTTAGATTTGAGTATGTCAAAACATCATTAGGTCTTTGCTTTAACATATACAGTCAGGCAGAATACTCAGAATGATCAGATCTACCCCAAGCTAGAACCACATACATATATATATCACCAAAAAACTGACAAATGCATTTTCTAACATTTGTTATGCATGATCAGGTCAACAATCTTACAGATGTATTGAAATTGTACCTTTTATCTAGTCGTCATTTCTGTTCAACAATCAAGGTAGTTCTGGGGGACCATAAGCAAGGATAATAACAATATATTCCAAATGAAGGGTGAGCTAGCATGACCACAGTGCGAGGAGTTTTCAAGAAAACAATGAGGGCTGGGGGCGGAGAGTGGGGCAGGGTGTGTAGAGGGGGCATTGTCCGAGTTTGTTCCTGTCCCAGTGACGCAAACGGGTACCCACGTCACACCAACCTTCATCACTTCCACCTGCAGGTCTTCGTTGAGGGAAGGCGTCACTTTCACAGCGTTCAGGATCTGATTCAGCAGCTGCTTCTCATCAGAGTCTGTTTCCATGGATACAAACCTTTCTTCAGACAGAAGCTTCTGAAAAGAGGCGCAAGGCAGTGATCACAGATAGGCTTTCCCTGCTGCCTTATTCTGTTACAGTATCTTAGTATGTACTGAGGATAATTTCTCTTAGGAGGCATGTGGCTGGAGGCCATTAGGAAAGAACTCGTGCTATGTGTCACCGAAAAGAAAAACGCATCAAAGCTTCTGTAAACGGTTTTTGGCGAAGACTTTCTCCTGCTATTAGATAATTCGTTATACATTTTATCAAGTAAAATTCTAACGTCATGGCCACCTAGGTTATTTGGGTGGTGGGGGTGAAGGATGAATGTGCCACGGACAATCTAGCCCCTCACGATACTCGTGCTCACACATACCCTTTCTGAATTTAGCTTTGTCACAGGAAAGGAGAAGTCTTGTAGAGCACAAGATATTTACCTTTTAAAAGATATTTACCTTTTTACTTCCTACTGGGAACTGCTATTTACCCAGGAATGATTCATGAATTCACAAATCTTACAGTATTTTTGTCAGAAAACCAATCCCACAAAAATCTAAACAAGAAGATATTGTCTGTCATGAGGTTTCCCAGGAGTCATTATACCTCATAGGACAGCCCTTTTCTATTTCAGGACAACTCTTACTTTTCATAAAATTATTTCTTAGATTGTACCAAAACCTACCTGCTTACACCTTTTGCTCCCTCATCTTTCCCTGGAGTGGCACGGATTAAGCTTGTAAAATATTGGAAGTCAGCTACGAAGTCCACCTAAATCTTTTCTCTCCATACTAAACCTCCTCAGCTACTTTCCAATGTTCTCAGCTTCATGTGTTTTCACAGATGCTTAACATATGGCCTCCAGAGTGACTGACTGTAACACTTCAGCGGTGGTCTTGCATTAAAGAGTAATGGAACCAAGAGTGTGTGTAAACTATGGATGGTGGGTGAATATGATGTGTCAATGTACGCTCATCCTCAGTTAAACAAACAACCAACCAAAGAAACAAACAAAAAAAAAACATGGGGTTAGGAGGTATATAGGAAATCTCTGTGCCTTCCTCTCAATTTTATTGTAAATCTAAAACTGCTCTAAAATAATAAAAGTTTAAAAAAATAATAAAAAGATGGCAGGGGGAAAGACAGAAAGAAATGGGGTCTTTGGTAGCACCAATGAGTTGCTGCATCAAACCTACAACTGCTCACCTCTAGGAGTCTAGTGACCTAAGATAATGAAATGTGTTCATTGCCTAAAAACAAACAAAAAGAATAATGCCTAACTTGAATCACATCCTCAGATCAAATTAGCTAGGCTGTAAATCAGGGCACATTCTGTGCTGACTTGCCCTAATCCTCACGCACAAGGGCTGCAGGTGAGCTGTTCTGCCCCTTCCTGTCCTGAGCAGAGGACTTCTGAGACCTCGGCGGAGGATTTTATATTAACCTCTGTTAAGTTTGTCCTTGGCCAATTCAGCGGAGAGTGGCTGCCCTGAAGAGCTTTCGGATTCTGATTCATCCAGGGTAATGGCTCCCTCTTTGAGCTGAATGCCACTGCAGACCTGGAGAACAAGTGGGCAATCCCGCTTCTTAGGACTCCCTGCCATTTTGCCTACCTTCTCTGAAAAGAGATTTTTCAGTATCATGTCATGCATGCAGGGCAGCCCGAAGTCAAAGTCAATATACAAACCTATTTTTAATGCCCTAAAAAAAGTGCCTAAAGTATATGGGAGGTAACAAAGGATGTTAAGAGGAAGGCCACTGCCCACCCACTGATGGTACGTACCATTACTAGGTAAGCCCTTGAAATCACGGTACCGTAACTTAAGAGTGTTGGAGGGTTAAAAACAAAAAAGTAATTAGAAAAATCTACAGAATCCTAGAGAAAAAGGAACATCAGTGGCAGATCAGAACAAACTCCCATTCATTTTTATGGTTGACCCAATTACCTTGGGGAAAAACAACGAGCTTTCAATAACATTATTGATGATTTTTAAACATTTCTAAAGCAATTACAGATCAAAACATATATTATCTAATTCCAATTCACTGGGGGGGGGAAGTTGCAATTTTCTCACTTTTCTATATGTGTTGACTCTGAAAAAATATCAGAGACTTCGCTGAGCTTAAAAAGCTAACCATGAAATTGTACATACTGATGTGAAAAGACATCCTACGAATGCAACCCATCCATGGCCACACTAAATAAACCCATGCAGGCTCAAAATTCACAGTGCTTGTCTCTTAGAAACCAAGCCACTTAAAAAGTCCATGTATTTATATACCATCTTCTTTCTTTGCACTGTTGGAATGAGATCTATTATGTATGGTATAAAAATACAAATGAACAAATGCCCAGAGAAGGAAATGTGTTCAAGTAATCTAACTTTTTTATTAGACCAAATTTCATTTTTCTTCCCAATCTTGCTCTGGATATAAAACACATTAATTCATTTGCCAACCTAACAGTAGACTAGAAAACAAAACAAGATCTCTCAGGTTTACCATGAATTTGCGTTACATAGAACCACAGCTGTTGAATGTATGCACGATTTGAGTTGGTATAGAACTTGAGGATCTCTTCTTCTCCTAAAAGTTGGACATCACAAAAAATATTTCATTTCTGTGTGGACTTAGCTGGGTCCCCAGGACTCAGAGTGTGACAACAAAGGCTCAACAAGGTAACGCTGTGCACAGAGAAATGCTGGCAAATATAAGGAAATCCTGCTATCCTCTATGGTTACTACTTAATTCAGCTAAATTTCTGTCTGGGTCTTTAAACGGCTAGTATTTAAGATATTAACGATTTGCTCTTTCCGTACCAAAGGGGCCTGTCAATTTCTGTCACCCCCATCGCACTCAGGGAGAGCCATACCTGTATCCCTGCCAAGGCGTGTTGGGCCAGCTTCACATTCTTGGATTCCAAAGCCAACTGGAGAGGCAGCAGGCATTTCTCCCTGGCAAACACATAAATAAGGACAACATGTGAGCTCAGCAAAGTTGGCAGTCAAGTGATACAAGCCTTATGTACACCCGCCCATCCCCCCAAATGCTGCCACACACATACAGAAAACTATGACCAATCATGAAAATACACATGCACTTAAAAAAAGCACACAGCAAGAGAGCTGGGCAGAAATAATAGCGTCGCATCAGCTTGCCTTCTTCGTATGGCCTTCGGGAAGAGGAAACACAAAGACTTTCAAACAATTGTTTTGGTGCACTCATTTTTGCATGGTAGGACTCTCACCAGTCCACAAACGTGCCTCGCTATTTCCCAAATTAATAGAACTTCTTGTACCCAGGATACTTGGTGTGAACAGCTCTAGGACGCACCATTTATACGGATTTCTATGCCTTGTTTATCCCTCTCGCTTACCTAGGAAGTGACTACATCACCACTACCAGCTTGCCTCATCAATATAAACTGAAATTCTACTAACTTGTTAATTCCTCCCCAACTCAAGGTATTCAATAATCATTCACAATTTTTAAAAATTTGCTATTTAGTCTCCAGTAAGAGGTAGATCTGAATTTTGTGATGGGTTCTTAATAAACACATTTCCAAGATAGAAATACAAATGAATCATCAATAGTTTTGACCAATGAGACGTACCTGGTGTCACAGAAGAAAGAAACAAACAAAAATACATGGAGAGCTCCTTGGATATTTTAAAGCTTAAAAAAAGAATAATAACTGCACTAAAACATGTTAGGAATAAATCAAAAGGGCTACAAAGAGAAACATATCTGTTAGAAGCATTCACTCTAAATAATTAAACAATAGACCAAGAATTTTAATCAACCCATTATTTCCCCATGGAGTTACACTGGCACAACAAATGGAATGTTACTTACTTCTACCAGGTTCTCCACCCCCCACTTCAACCAGAGCAGCCTCATTTTTATCTGTTTTATATTTTCACCATAAACTGAAAGAGTCATTGACTGTAGAGAGTGGAAAAGCCGCAAGGTAAAGGCTACAGGATTTCCTCTTTGGAGAAATTAGGGTCACTGCTGTAGAACACAATGAAACAGAAGCTAATTATAGCTCTGCATCTTTCCTGTCCACCCTGCAGCTTTTCCACGGAATCCTCCACCAGCAGCTCCAGGACAGATGACATGCGAGTCACAGACACTCCCGCATGCCCGCGACAAAGACAGAACAAAAACAGACTGTCAGAAAGAACATTTGCCTCCCTAATCCTTCTCATCTCTCCCTTCACTAGCCTGATGTTATAATACCCACTTTTATATGACAGTTGACACTGCAGTCATTTTTCATTAGATACGTCTTTGACAGATGGATAAATTACCTAACTGTAGTACCTCCAGTTGGGTGGCTATAATTTTGTCGCTGTTATTGTTATCAGCTTGTAACAGTTACGAGGCAAACACCGCTATGCAGTCATTTAAAGCAGAAATAGCTGATTTTTCCAATTCTGTTTCTTTTGTTTAATTATAATCAGTGTATAAACTTGGAAAAATTAATTGGAAGGATGAAGTCAAGTGAGAAGTAGGAATAATGGGCAGATGGCCTATTAACAGAAGAACCATAAAACTTCATCTATAAACCCTTGAAACAGTCAAATTTCCATCAGGATTAACTCACTGTGAATAAACCTTCATCTCGAATTTAGAGTCAGCTCTGCCAGCGAGGGCACAGTACCATTGAGCAAGTGTGGAGGTCCAAAGCTCTCACGGTCTCATAGCCAGGAGCAGGGAAAGTCTGTATGGAGTGGTTATGTGCTAAAAATGCACAGATATTACACAATGCTCACCAAAGACATCAAACAAGACTGCATGCCACGTTCAGTGGCAACAAGGACACTCCTGGGAATGCTGAACCTCCTGACCCTTGGGAAGCAGCATTTTGTCAGCATATAAACAAGTGCATACCCATATCACACTGCCATCTGCAGGATCAGTCCTTGAAATCCTCCTTCCACTCTCTCTCCTACTTAGACATTCACACAATTTGTAATGCAGACCTGAGCCAGGTGTGAACAAATGCTAGGACGGCCAGATTGCACCAGGATCCCAGGGGACATTACTGCACTGCTCCCCAAGCCAGTCATGGTCATCAGACAGGACTGGAAGATGTAACTCGTTCAGCTAGGTTTTGGCTGAGTTGAAAGGTATCAGTATTTACAGGAAAGGACAGGGGCTATGAAATCACATAGACCTAACCATTTATAAGTTGTGCAATCTCGGTCAAGACGCTTAGCTCTGTTGGGTCTTGGCTTCTCAATCCATAAAAAAGGTATCTTAAGACCAATCCTGCAGAGTTATAGTAAGGAGCACAGATAATATATGTCTAGAGTTGGCAAACCTTTTCCATTAAGAGGCAGATAATAAATATTTTAGGCTTTACAGTCCATATGGTCTCTGTTCTAACTATCTAACTCTGCCATAGCACAAAAACCATCATAGATGCCACATAAATCAGTGAGAATGGCTATGTTCCAATAAAACTGTATTTACAAAAACAGGCAATAGACCAGAGTTGGCTTATGGGCAGTAGATTGCCCAGCTCTGATATAGACCAAGGTCCAGCACAGATCACAATTTTCAGCACAAGATGAGCAGATCTCATCTTGTCAATAGTATCCTGAACGATTTTGCATGGGACATAAAGCTAAATGTCCTAGGAGAGTTGTCTTAGCAAAAGTAATTATAGCACCAAGATCCCTTTTAGAAAGTAAGTGCTTTGAGGAAGTAGACTGAAAGATTTCATCTGGGCACTAAACCAAAGCACTTCATCCATCCAACCAGCCATTCAACCAACATTTGAGTGTCTACTGCATGCAAGGCACCCTGATGAGTGCCCAGGAATATCTGGAATAAGACAGAACAAATACTTGGTTTCATTTTAGTCATGAGATGAAAGGGGAAAAAAAATTACCATTTACCATTTGTCTATTTAGTCTACCTCTCACTACAATCTTAAAATAAGCATTCTTACCCTTGTTTTACATTTGAGAAAATGGGGTTTCAGAAAGGTTTCATTGCCTTCCCAAAGCCACACAGCTAAAATCTGTTAAAAACCATTCAATCCCAAATCCGTCTGACTCCCAAGACCAAATTCCTTCTAACACTCTTTCGTCTCAAAAGATCAGGACAAAGGTAGAACAAATCTGTTTCATAACCTTTTTGGGGATCATGATCACAAACTATCTGGCAAAAGACCCTCTTCTTAGAAAAAAATTTCGGGGGATTCACAGCTCCCCTCCAAACCCCAAATGGATTCCAAGTTAAGAGCCCCCACCCTCAGGAGAAAGGACCCTGTCCATGATGGCAGAAACTTCAGCGTCTGCCTCAAAGAAGAAGGCCATGTTCCCTGGCTGGGGTTAGGGTTCACTAGGATGAAATGTAGCTTCGTGTGTGTGTGTGTGTGTGTGTGTGTGTGTGTGTGTGTGTGTGTG